TGTGAAGTATTGCCAACTTATTGATTTCGTGCAAGAGTAAGATACTTGAACCACATGATGAAAGGGTCATGCAATTGTGACTTTGCCTGAATCTGTTACGAGAGTGTGGCTATACACCTTTCTACTGCCGCAATATATGGTCTCTTCTTTGGCATCATTATATAATTAAAGAAGAATAAACAGATATTTTGAAGTGCATTTACATGAAATTGATCTTTATCCACTACAAAATATATATGAAGAAGAAAAATGATTTATGAAATTGATGTTTATCTAATGACCACTAGCTTATTTGTCCAAAAATAGGGTACGTTGTAAAGAATTAATTGTTCAGTTGAATATTTGAGAGGTAAAAACTCGTTAATTTAAAGAGGTGCTCTTGCTTTTTCAGGGTAAGAGGTATAGAGATAATGCCTCGAGTTAATATTCTAGCACTGGGTGCTATGACACTAAAGTAACCCACGTCGTATTATAAAATATGTATGACAAAATAAATTATCTTGCGAGAATATATTTTAAATTTTATGTTAACACGTAATTGAAACTCGAAGATTGGAACAAATATTAGCAAGCAAACTTGTGCAATGTTTTTGACTTGGCATATACTCCAAACTAACCCATGCCATACTCTTATCTTGACTCTATTGCTAACCCTAAGAGCATCAAAAATTAAATTGATATCAAAATATTGAATTTTTTTTTTTAATGATAAAACAAATGTTTGGACACTTCGAAAAATACAAAATTGCGATTGTTCTTAAACATATATGTTCACAAGGAATATGTAACAAAAAGTACATATATATATTGTTCACATGCTTCTTTACTCATTTTTATAAAGAGCAAGTTAGGTTTTCCAGAAACAGGTTGATACCTCATTCTTATAAGTCATTAAAAGGATCTTGACTCCAAGCTTATGCAACCCACGTGTGAAGTATTATTCGTAAATATTGAATTATGTTTTGGTACAAACAATTCATGTAGTCGAATGCGTAAATAAGAACGAATATCGATCTCAAACAATAATTGGGCACAAATAACCCTTTCGATCTTCTATTATTATATAAATTTTTAATCAAATTTCTAGAAGAGCTTACAAAAATCGTTGGTCGTTTATCAATATTTTTGAGAAGTTAAAATTTGTTTATAACGCTGAAAAGTTGATTTTGAACTTGCCAATGTCCCATTTGGTATAGAAATTTGCTACTTGTACATAAAAAATATACATAATGGATTATATAAGATCCAAAAACTGAATGTTTTTAAATCTATTTGGCTAATTTAATGAAAGTATTTCTTCTATTAAAAGAGTTTTTAAAGAACATTGATTTAATATGACTTCTTTTAAAGACACTTTCGAAATAAGAAGTTCTTTTAAAAAATAATTTTCAAACAAAAATAAAGATAATTTCTCCAAAAGCTCTTCTAAAAAAAGTAAAAGCAAAAGCAGAGGCCATATCAAATAAACCCTAAGATAACTTATCAAGAAAGTCTTCTATATGAAATCAAAGTAAAAATAGAAATGCTGCAAAATGAACAATAAATACTACACGAAATAATAAAACTCCATAATAATGGCATTGACCCGAAAACTAACAAAATAAAATGATTTAAGTAGTTTATTAATGCTGCCAGAAAATGCCTAAGGAGAGAAAAAGATCGACTGCTGGGAAGAGATGTTATTACTTAAGCTGCTAAACGTAATTTTTCAAAGTTACGTTTTTACTAACAAATCTTATGTTATGAGTAGTCTTAACTTACTCTTTACAAAATTAACTTTTAATTAAGTAACCACAAAAGTGCTTTGAGTGGATGAATAATTGAGAATAGTTTCATCTCAATTTACTTTAATTGAGAATAGTTTCATAATTTTTTTTTTTTTTTTTTTTTTTTTTTTACAATTGTTTTTACATTAATGACTATAATCATTTTACCACAAAATTTCCTAATAAGACGGGACTATATCTTTTGACTGGATGAAAGTTTAATAAAGTATTCGTTTTCATGTTGACTGAACGGAGCCACAAAAGTAAAAAGGACCAAGGCAAAATAAGAATTTTATTCAAAAAGTTGATAGAGATGTACGATATTTTGAACCAACTAATTAATTAAAATAAGTTAATATGAATTTAAAATATATCAAATTTAATGAAATCAAAATAAATTTACTTTCCCTAATATGTCATTTAACAATTAAAAGAAGTAATTATTACATCACATAAGAGTAAGGTTAAAAAAAAAAAAAATTTAACATATTCAAATAAACTTATAATTTATAAACAAAATCAAATAACTTTATGTTGTGATTAGAATAATAAAAGCAATAGAAATTAATATTGTTTTTTTTTTTCAAGTTGGGAAATTGTATAAATTTTAAATGGTATTATTTTCAAATTGATCGATATTTTTAACTGAAAGAAGGAAAGACGACTAATTTTGGAGTGATGAATCGAACACGAATGACAAAAAAATAATCACCTGGGGAATTTAAATCAAAATAGTCGAATAATTAGTTGTGAGTGTGAACTTGAGAAAATTTAAACATGGATTACATCATAGGATTCTGTGGTTGGACATTAATGTAACGCATTAATACTCAATACCAAAAATATGGAATACAACATTTGATACCAAGTGGGACCCTAATCCATAATTAAGCCAACAGTAGAACCCCACTTATTCCTTTGAGATTTTGGTAGAGAAGCTGACATTAATGAAAATTGATTTAGGGGATGTTTGGTAAGGATTTTAAAAAGTAAAAAAATTAGTTCTGAGATTAAGAAGTTGTTTTTGAATGTGTTTAAATAATTTTCTGAAAATATTTTGTTTGATTAAAAGAGTTTTTAGAAGAATGTGACCTAAAGATTTGACGTGACTTCTCTTACTACTTCTACTTCTTGTAAAAGAGTTTTCAAATGGCACTTCCTATAAAAGTTTTTTTTGGTCAGACATTTTCAAAAAAATTATCTAAACAAATTCAAAAGAACCTTCTAGTCTCGAAGGCAATTTTTCTATTTTTAAAAGTAATGCCAAATGGTTTGTAAGGTAATTCCCTCGTGATACTTTTTTACAAAAATCAAATGTAAAAGTAAAAATCATGCCAATTAAGTCCTTCCACCAAATAGTGTCCTTTTTCCCCCCTTTTAACACTCTATACTTAAAATATTTACTTATAATAAGGAGGTTTAGATCTAATTAAGAGGGTGTCTGGGAGGCATTTTTATGTAAAAATACGTTTTTGAATAGTAAATTTATGGGAGATGTGCGATTGAAAAATAAGGAAAATATTTTGATTTACGTGTAATATTATTTTAATAAAGAATGTGTGATTGAAAAGAAGAGAGAAAAATGTATTTTGAAAAAAATGGGTACCAAACGGGACCTAAATTATTAAATTCCCAACGGTGCTCTTCATCATGTGTAATTTTGACTAGGGTTTTTCTTCTTCCACTTCAGAGTATTTCGTAAGCTTTCCGTCGATTTCCATCGACCATTGTAATTAGGAGCAGAGAATTTGTTGTGTAAAATAAATATTTTGTTGGTCAAAATAAAAAATAAGTAATTTAGTCACTACTTGGACTGTATTTTTTCAAAACTCATTTTCAACCACACATTCTTCCATAAAATAATATTAAAAGTAAATTCAAAACATTCCCTCCAAGAAAAAAAATTACCGTTTCAAAACATATTTTTTCCAATACCTCATTTTAATGAACCCCAAACAGGGGCCTAAATATACAAAGTTGCTAGGTTTTTGCGGTCGACATAAATTTATATCTTTTTGTTTCTTGTGATTTTCTTCATATACATCGTGCATTATTTCAATATTTAAGAAATAATTCCAAGATTTCTCAAGTTAAACGAATAAAAATGCAGCAGGTTAAATCCCTTCTTGTTATTATACCTAAATGACTATAGTCTCAATTTAATGATTTTCTCTGATTTCATCCTTTCAAGTAGCTATAAAGTGGAATAAAAAATTTCTTCCAAATGTCACACTTTTGATATATATGAAACGTGGCACTGGTAAACCCCCTTAATTAAAAGACATTTTTTTGTCGCTCAAATTTTTACCTTGGCTACTACTCTACCGTATTCACAATTTTATCTCGACTTTAACCACAAAAATATTGAGCGATAAAAAGAAATTTTCTGTAGTTAAAGGGTTATCGTTGTGATTTTTTTGCATGTCACAATTTAGTGACGTTTGAAGCAATGTTTTAGGAAAAAGTCATGAGTACAGGGAAATGCTGATGTGACAGCAGATTATTGGATTGTTTTTTGTTTTTTTTCCCCATCTTTCGATCAATTTTCACCATGTGTTATCTGTTAATTTTTTTCTTTACTTGTAGCATAATTGAATGTTTTATCCCACTCCGAACATATCTTCCGGTTTTCAATTTGAATATTGCTTTCTGGGACCCACACATGATATCACCCGTGTTGCTTCCACTTGTTTTTACAAAAACACCATGGACAAGTTAATACGGGGGTAATCTGTTTATTACGTTATTATGCTGATCAACCCTAGAGCATGTTTGGCCAATCTAATAAGTAGGCCAAATTTTATCGAGTAAATTTTTAGTTTCAAACATGATTCGAGTGCGTTATACATTGCTTAATTATAAGTAAAAAATACTTACTTATTTTAATTCAAGATTTTAGTATGTTTGGCTAAGCTTATAAGTAGCTAATTCTTATCCTTTTCAATGCAACCATGCATTTATTGCCAAAATTTAGCTAAACTTAAAAGTAACTTTTGTTGCTCTTGTTTAGGTTGTAAATGTATGCTTGCTGGCTATAAGATCAAAAAAGCAAGAATCAGCTACTTATAAGTTAACCAAATATGCTTAACTTACTTATTTCACACCGTAAGTGTCAAAATTTCAAGATTAGCCAAACATTATTTTTGACGTGTCACAATACAATTGGTTAATGATCTTTCTTTACTTAATTACATGTGATTAATAGATGAATGTGCCATAATATATACGATGGACCGTATGCCATATAAAACATGGGCTAGCTGGCCAACATTTCAGCTTATAGTATTTTCTTGATTGTACTCAGATAAATTTCCGAAATCCAAAAGTTTGAAAGAAAATCTTCAAGAATATAGATCTTGATATATGCATCCATAGATACGTACATATAGAGAGAGAGTGAAAGAAAGAGAGATGAATAAATCGATGGAGAGTCCAGATTCATCCACAGGAGTTTCACAGCAGCCCCACTTGCCACCAGGGTTCCGCTTCCACCCCACGGATGAGGAACTCGTGGTGCACTACCTCAAGAAGAAGGCTGCCGCTGCTCCTCTGCCGGTGTCCATCATAGCTGAAGTTGATCTATACAAATTTGATCCATGGGAGCTCCCAGGTAACACAGTGCATGTGTTATATATAAAACAAGATTTTAGTTTCTTTTTCTTCGATTGAAAATTTGTGTTCTTGTTTTTTCAGCTAAGGCGACGTTTGGAGAGCAAGAGTGGTACTTTTTCAGTCCGAGGGACAGGAAGTACCCTAACGGGGCTCGGCCTAATAGGGCTGCGACTTCTGGATATTGGAAGGCCACCGGAACTGATAAGCCGATTTTGAGTGCCGGAGGGACTCAAAGAGTAGGGGTTAAGAAGGCATTAGTTTTCTATGGAGGGAAGCCTCCTAAAGGGATCAAAACTAGTTGGATCATGCATGAATATAGACTCCCCGACAATAAACTGAACACAAAGCCTCCTGGGTGTGATTTTGGTGGCAGCAAAAAGGGCTCTTTAAGGGTTAAATAACTAACCCTTTAAAACTATATATTTTTTCATCAGTTTAGATACAGATCATTAGTTTTTTTTTGTTGAAAAATATGTTGATATTTGGTTCTTGATGCATGATTTTCAGCTTGATGATTGGGTTTTATGCCGGATTTACAAGAAGAATAATTCACAAAGGCCTATAGATCAAGAAATAGGGGATGATCTGATAGGATCATTGGCAATTGGCCAACAGAAGCTGCAGCATCAGCAGGGACTCAAGCTCTCAAACTATGGCGGATTTCTCGAAAATAATGAACACAACATGTTTTCTGGAATGATTAACGCTGCAAATGATGGAATCAACACTAGCCTAATTTCTCTATCAGCCTCAAAACCACTTCTTCCAATGGCACTCACACCAGCATCAAGTACTTGTACTCTCCCAGCTAAAAGGACGCTTTCGAATCAGTACTGGAACGACGAAGAAGTAGGTGCGAATTCTCGTCTGAACAAGAAATTTCTTGCAGAAAATTGTGATGGAACCAATTCTATTCCCACCATCTTCAGCCAAAACCCTTCACAGCCAATGTCGGGATCTCTTGGTGATGGCATTTTTCGCCAGCCATATAATGTTACAGGCATGAATTGGTACACCTAGACCAAGAATGGAAGTCGATTTGCTTTTATAAAAAATTAACGGGATTCAGCCAATTGTCAGATTCAGATGATTTAAAGTTTTCTTGGGCAATTTTAGGTGAGGCCGTATATATTACCAGTCATTTTTAATTATATGTAATTGACACTTTATATGTGTATCTTTGATTACTAAATGAAATATTATTGTGTAGAATTTGTAGAACCTAGAGATATACGACCCTATATTACCATGATAATGAATTTAAAAACATAAAATAAAATCTTTGCTCATATTATCATTACTTAGACATCCCGTCATCTTTTTATTTTTTGGTTAAGATTGTAAACTACTCGAATTTTAGCAAAAGCAATTCTCCAGGATCAAATCGATTGGTTGAAAGGCAAGAATAATAATATTGTTTTGATAAGAAAAAGATATATTAATTCCCAACTGGTATCTTAATAATACTCACGATTTTCATTAACTTGAGACGTATTTAATACGTTAAGTTTACATCATGACAATTATATATTTTCAAACAATGACAAGAAAGTTGGACGACCTTGAAAAAAATGATAATTGGCCGAGTATGGGCACCATCGAGTTATCAATTACTATTACCCCCAAATACTTGTTGAACTACGCTTCCATGGAGAAAGCAACCTCGAATGAGTCATTTTGCATGTACTTATTCACATGCCATCTTTTTCTTGATGATGAAAGACAAGCCGGACATAGTTAAAACAACTTTTGATTTCTAGCAAATGCATTCCTAGGATTTAGAAAAACTTAATTAAATTCAAGAATTAATTAACTATTTTGTCCTAATGCCAGCTTTTAATTCCATAATTTACTATTTTTCTTGATTTAATCTACAACATTTTTCGATATCAATTTCTTGTTGTGGGTGTCCTTTTCTTTCATTAATGGGTTGATAAGACGTGGTCGAGAATATTCTTCCGTGAATATATCTTGCATTTTGGCATCAAGAAGGCCTCACTCCACAAAAAAAAAAGGTTTATAAATTCTCTTTTTTGATGACATTTTGGACCGTCCAAACGGATTATTATCTTAAATTTATTATCGTTAATTGCATTCCTTTTTAAGGAAAGAGTTAAACAACTTTAATTTTATATTGACTTCATAATTCTTAATATGGAAATTGATAATGCAATGATGGAGATGCACTAGATAAATATCTAATGAAGCTTTTATGAGCCTAAGATATTTTTTATGATTATTCTTTAATCAGAAAGATCGAATTCAGTTCAAATGTAGATATACATTTAAAAATTTTCGCAACTAATCAAAAAAACAAATGAATCAAATGACACATAATATCGATGAAATGCGAGTTCATGTAACGGGAGAAAGATTTTCCATTGTATATGATCATTTTGCAATGAGAAAAGTTAAGCTCTATTTGGTGTAGTTTAAAAGGTTGATAAAATTTAAATTAAAGTCAATAATTATTTTTACCACATATTTCATAAGACCTACAATTTTATCAACTAGTTAACCATATATTTCATCAGTTTTTAATTAAAATCTACTAAAAATCATAATTTAGTCACACCAAATAAGAGCTAAATGTTAATTATGTATGGAATCTTAATTTTCAGTTAGCCACTTAATGAAAGGTAATGAATTTTACTGTGCCCATGTTTGGTATGGATTAAACATTTAAATTTTTAATCTATGTCAAAGTCGGTAATTAATTTTAATCACGTATTTCATAGGACCCACAACTTTTCAATCAAATATTTCATCAACTTTATCAAAATCTACTAAAAATCTTATTTTAATTCACTTAACAAAATCAAATATAATGTTATAAATATTAATTCATGCCTATCAAATAACCAAAAAGAAAGAAAGAAAGAAAAGAATTAAGTCAATGTTTAGAGTTGATTTTAATCTTGATAAAAATTTAATTTAAAGTCAACAATTAACTTTATTCATATATTTGATAGTATCCATAACTTCTCATCAATTACATCATCCATCAACTTTTATCAAAATCTATTAAAAATCTAATTCTTAAATATACCAAACATGGGCGAAATACACTACATACTATTTTATGCATTTAGAATTTTGGGCTTATAGCTCATGCATGCATGCATGCAAATGTGTGCGTTTGTACGTAACAAGATGGGAAGCATTAAAAATGAAAATCTCTGACTAACTAATAATCTTTACATAGTGTGGGGGCATAATTAAGATGATGAAATTAAATGCGATGACCATTCTTAGTAGTTGCACAACTACAAAAAAATCGTGAAACCACAAAGTGAATCGAACTAATTCTTTATTTCAATACATTTAAAATCGATCAATTGAGTGAGTTATTTTTCACCACTCTATTCATTTCTTGAGCTCATTCTTTACAACGTGGGTTTATATGATCGAAGTCTGAACCATTGGGGCCACGTTTGTCTCCTTCAAATGAAGGTTTGAATTTTTGTTAACCTGATCTTTGATCCAATCCTGGATCCGTCCCTGCTATCAGACGAATCCATAATTTGTTTCGCCTAGTGAGTACCCATTGGTTCTTTTGATAGTCTACAACCATACGTAATTGTCATTGTATCTCAAATTTCTTCCTTGTTCAGTTATGAAAATTAGCACCTTGTACTGAAAATAGTAATTCAAGAAAACAACCATGAAATTACAGGGGCCCATTATCTAGTCCAGTTTTTCAAAAACTTCAAGCCCCTCATCCGTGTGGGATTGTCTGGAAGCCAAATTCTTGTTTCTCCAAGCTCCATCAGCAATGGAGTGCATTCAAGCTCGACAAATCGAAAACTACTATTTTCCTCTTTGTTATATTTGGTAAGTTGGATTGAACAGCTAAGAATAGAACTTACAAGAAAAACGAGCTAAATTTTTTTAACATGCCTCTCCCTCGTGTTCTTCCATCTGTATCTACTAGTGTGCACCTTCTGACCAGAGAAAAAGAAAAAACAAAAAAGAGAAAGTGGAGATTCTTATATAAAAATGTCGACACTGCATGTTTTAGGCATGACTAGTTAAACTACATTTTCCAAGTCAAGAATTAATGCGCACATACAGATACCGAAAAGATCTGCACAAAGTACATAGAGAATTTACACTCGATCGGTACCTGCAGCCTTGTTACCTTCGTATAGATGGCTTCAATTATCTCCTTGCAATCGATTTCTCATCGCTTCATCTGGTCTCGGTTGGTCTATTCTGTCAAACCTTAACAGAGAAAACAAGGGAAAAGAGACGGTGAGTCAGAATTATAGGTTATAGCAGTCGAAAGACGAATCTCACATGCATAGTTAACTAAACATTTGGCATACCTCAGGTGTACGTTTTGACGATGCATCGACATTAGCTTCGGCAGGTAAATCAGAGATGCGGGCTTCTGATTTCTCGTTCGAATAACTACCAAATAGAATTCCAAAAGAAATTAGAGTTCTCGTTCCATCTCAGAATAGTTCAAGACAGATATTATCATGTCAAACTACAGTAACCAGATCCTTGATACCTCATACATTGAAAGGAGAAAAGCTGTGTGATACTCCCTATTATTGTCTAATCCAACTACCCAAACATGGCAAAGTGTGCATCCGAACATAGAAACTGGAAATAAGAGCTCAATTAAGACGACATGCTTACGTTGATAATATTGTCACCCAAATGAGCTCCACACAGTCGACCCAAAGAAGTCTTTGTTCAACAGGGATCACACCGTAGGTAACGAGATGAGCAAAAGGCCAAAGCTTCCAACCCGCCTGAAAAACAAGCCATTTGTTTATGCAGAGAGCAAAACATTATGGTTTTATCTTGAAATCTTTTACGAGCTCAAATCTACTGAAGCCACATAGTATTCCGATTCAGAGTACAAAGAAGGGGATCATTCCCAACATGTAAAGTAATCCATGCCATATTCCTCCACACCCAAAATTTGCTCTCTCTAAATTATATAGGTTTGCCTAAACCTCTTGACCAGATACACCAGAGCTAAAAACAATACTGAGACCTAATTAAGGATTAGACTAGTGGACGAGGCAAAAGTTGAAAAGCATAGACACGGTCAAACCACCTCGCTTAAAAGCTTTTGAAGAAAGAGGACAAACTTAATTATGTATACTGCCTTCAAAGTGCCGCATTAAGTTCAGGCTGAATACATTTTTATCAAAGGCCTGACATGTGACGATTATAAATAGGTGGCAGGGAGACTTGAACTCGCATCTTTTGACTGCACTAGGATCATGTTGTAACACGTCATTTAAAAGTTTATGATGTTAGAAAGGGGACAAATTTAATTATTTAAATCATTTTCAACAGTCGCATGAGACAACCAGTCTCGTATAATTTGATGCAGACACCATGAGTAAATGAAGTTCAGGAATTTTAAAGCTTCAAGCTTATGGTTAAATTAAAAAGAAAAATACAGAGAACAGTCAAGAAACTGCATAACGAACAAATAAACTATATTGACATACTGCAGACATTTATCAGTGGAGAAAGTGGAGATTCTTATATAAAAATGTCGACACTGCATGTTTTAGGCATGACTAGTTAAACTACATTTTCCAAGTCAAGAATTAATGCGCACATACAGATACCGAAAAGATCTGCACAAAGTACATAGAGAATTTACACTCGATCGGTACCTGCAGCCTTGTTACCTTCGTATAGATGGCTTCAATTATCTCCTTGCAATCGATTTCTCATCGCTTCATCTGGTCTCGGTTGGTCTATTCTGTCAAACCTTAACAGAGAAAACAAGGGAAAAGAGACGGTGAGTCAGAATTATAGGTTATAGCAGTCGAAAGACGAATCTCACATGCATAGTTAACTAAACATTTGGCATACCTCAGGTGTACGTTTTGACGATGCATCGACATTAGCTTCGGCAGGTAAATCAGAGATGCGGGCTTCTGATTTCTCGTTCGAATAACTACCAAATAGAATTCCAAAAGAAATTAGAGTTCTCGTTCCATCTCAGAATAGTTCAAGACAGATATTATCATGTCAAACTACAGTAACCAGATCCTTGATACCTCATACATTGAAAGGAGAAAAGCTGTGTGATACTCCCTATTATTGTCTAATCCAACTACCCAAACATGGCAAAGTGTGCATCCGAACATAGAAACTGGAAATAAGAGCTCAATTAAGACGACATGCTTACGTTGATAATATTGTCACCCAAATGAGCTCCACACAGTCGACCCAAAGAAGTCTTTGTTCAACAGGGATCACACCGTAGGTAACGAGATGAGCAAAAGGCCAAAGCTTCCAACCCGCCTGAAAAACAAGCCATTTGTTTATGCAGAGAGCAAAACATTATGGTTTTATCTTGAAATCTTTTACGAGCTCAAATCTACTGAAGCCACATAGTATTCCGATTCAGAGTACAAAGAAGGGGATCATTCCCAACATGTAAAGTAATCCATGCCATATTCCTCCACACCCAAAATTTGCTCTCTCTAAATTATATAGGTTTGCCTAAACCTCTTGACCAGATACACCAGAGCTAAAAATGATACTGAGACCTAATTAAGGATTAGACTAGTGGACGAGGCAAAAGTTGAAAAGCATAGACACGGTCAAACCACCTCGCTTAAAAGCTTTTGAAGAAAGAGGACAAACTTAATTATGTATACTGCCTTCAAAGTGCCGCATTAAGTTCAGGCTGAATACATTTTTATCAAAGGCCTGACATGTGACGATTATAAATAGGTGGCAGGGAGACTTGAACTCGCATCTTTTGACTGCACTAGGATCATGTTGTAACACGTCATTTAAAAGTTTATGATGTTAGAAAGGGGACAAATTTAATTATTTAAATCATTTTCAACAGTCGCATGAGACAACCAGTCTCGTATAATTTGATGCAGACACCATGAGTAAATGAAGTTCAGGAATTTTAAAGCTTCAAGCTTATGGTTAAATTAAAAAGAAAAATACAGAGAACAGTCAAGAAACTGCATAACGAACAAATAAACTATATTGACATACTGCAGACATTTATCAGTGGCCAATCTCACCAGGCAGAACTCAACTAGATAAGAAAATAGAAGTTCGCTACAGTTAATCTTTTTTTAGATATATATTTATTCAAGAAAAGAAAGAAGCGAGTCCCAGAGCAGTAAGACTTCTTACAGTTAACATGGGCCAGAATGTAGCCGTTAATTCTTTAAAAATATTGACAGGGGATTCAAGCCGGAGAACTCCTAATACTGTAAAGTAAATGCTGTTCCAAACAGCAGCCCATGCCGTTTGATCAAAGGCTACTTTCACAGGAACCACCCACCAATCGTCAAAAGGAAATAGAGCCTGGAAAAGGAGACATGTTTGTCAAATAATTAGAGAGGAAAATAAATTACAAGGACATTCGATGCAGCAAACATTGAAACTGCAATAATTACCTCACAGAACTGATAGTAATAATGGGAAAGGGATCCATGCAGTGTAAAGCCGACTAGCCCAGATCTGAATGCGCGAGCACGGTCAAACTCAAACAGAGGTTTTCCTTCATAACACTGCAAAGTATATCAGGTGAGTTCATGAATAGCTGATAAGACTCTGCCGAAATCAACAAATAAAAGAGCTCTTTACATCTAAACTTTAATAAAAAGAAAATATCGACTAACCTGTGCGATCCAATCCCCCACAGCATACACCACTCCACTTATTACCATTTTTGCTAAGACGGGGTTTGCTTTAAGAGCTTCCTCATATGCACTCCAGTTGTGTTGGGGTGCGTATCTCAGTATTTCATAGAGGGTCCATCCCTATATAAGCAGACAAAATGAGTGCAATCTTATAGATAAAGCACATCTGATATATGTAGCTACGAATAATAAAAATAATTTCCAAAATAGGCATTGATAAATATATGTAAATATGTATAACAGTTAAAAGACCCAAGCATAAATAGGAGAGAAGGAAGCGGAGAAAACCAGTGTCGACTTAGAGTATGCAAGAAAATGACAATATCCATACACTCACGTCACCTAAATAATACAAAATATCTAGAAAGCTTTGCCAAGCTGTATGCATGAACATAGAAGTTCTTACAACCATATTCCACAAACATAATATATTTATTATGCTCTGATATCATTTGCATACTCAAGTGTAAGAATTAAGGAGAGCTTCATTATATTCAGCACAACATATAGGGCTCCATGCAGATCAAAAATTGGTGGAATTAAAACATAAAAAATTCTATAAAATGAATAAGCATGACAAAAATGGAACAAAAGATCACACAATTTTCCTCTTCACACGTAGAGGTTATCTAGCTTTGCTTATTTATAAGCACTCTTGGCACTTTTAAGCCATTTCTGACAGCAATTTTAGTGCTTACAAGCTGTTAGAGGTCTAGCATCACGAGTTCAAAGAATTGACATTTTAGGTTCCTTTAGGCTCTTCACAAAAATTGCTAATTAAGAGGCCCGGTCTGAGCAGTTTTACTCAGTAAACTCTATTAGCTTATAATACAGAACGCTGGTAGGAGGACTAAGCTCAGCAATACAGTTTTCGAGAAATACACACAAGAATGCAATCCTCAAGGAAGACTAATATTCCAGGAGAACAGTTGAGAGGAACATCCAATTCCACCAACTGTTTTCTCCACTCTACAAGAGAAAACATTGAGGGTCAACTATAAGCTCAAAAATCAATGGAGTACTTATATGGAGTAACAAATTTTATCACTGAACCATTGAAGTTCTATCCAGATATAATATCCAGCAAGTTCAACGAATATTTTTGTTGTTCTCCACATTCAATTGTATTAGTTGTTGATACATCAGCTGTCATTTCTTTGTATTCATTCCATATGTATATACAGGCTATTGAGCATGTAAGAAGAGTTGTATTTGTAGAGCTACTTCGCAAGGTATCAGTTAATGGACAAGACCGATACAGCCCACCAGTAACAGTCAATCGAGGAGAAATTGTCCACCACAACGTTTCACAATTCCATATGAACATAGCTGAGCATTGGGCAATAACCACTTAACCCAGTAATTGAGCCAAGAATATCTAAGAAATAACAAAAGTGAGGAAAATACAAACAAAGAAAGTAATTTTTGACAAAATTGGCAATCTTGACACGGATAATACATACACATCCATGGAAACATTTTTCCACCTAAAACACCTTGTATTTAAATAAAGTTAAAATCACTTTAGTACAAACCACACTAAAAACTTTCAAAGATAATGAAAAAGCAAAAGCCACGTTTAGTTTTCAATCTGCTAATCGAAACTAACGATAAGAGGGAGGGAGCAATACTGGAACTAGATCAGCAAAGTCCCATCTTAATTGTCAATGACCCAAAAACTATTCAATTTCCATCTGCAATATTATACGTAACAAATATACGTATAAAGACTCAATTTTGAATACTATATTTGTATAAAGAATCAATTCGTCAATGGCCGGATTCACATATACGTAAGGAATACAAATCTCAATAATATGCCAAGAAAATTAACACACGTCACCCACAATTCACACAAAAATGTTACAAACCTAAGTTTCAACCCCAAAACTTCACAAAATAAAATCAGTTGCAGGATTATTCTACTCACATGCCAGTAATCACGATCTATAGTCAGCATCTTTGTGATAGCAAAAGTTCCAGCAGCCAAGACAATGGTGGCATTAATAGCACTATCAATAAGCCTCCTTATATCCACTTCTTCTCCATCACCTACACTAGAACCAGCAGATGAAAACCCAGAAGCACCCTCAAACGACAGCCTTCCTGAAGCCTCATTACCAAATCCCCCCACCACCTGACCCACCACCGTTTCTAGATCCGTTCCATCTGTTTCCCTCTCCATACATACGACGCCACTTTGCTGGTCAACTCTGTCGTCACTCTGCACGGGGATGACGTCAAGTTCGTTGTCCACCGAGGCCACCACCACCGACAATGATCGCTGCTTATCCTTTGGTTTCCGGAAAATCTTGATGGTGGAGGAGGGTTGTTTGAGGTGGTGGATGAAGGAAGATTTAACGGTATTATTACTGTCGGATTTGGGTTTAGAGAGAGAAAAGAAGGATTGTGAGGTTATAGAGGCCATGGTTTCTCTCTTTAGGCCTCTAGAAAGGGAGGCTGATCAGCCTAATATACCTCTCTGCGTAATTCTCTTCTCTGAGTCAACCAAATCCGACCAGTGCAGAATGAGAGCCTGTGGTAGTTTTATATGACAGGTAGATTGATCGAGTTCGATCGGGTGCTTCTCGGTGTAGGGTGTTCTCGTGGGACCCAATACAGCTCAATAATCAATAATGTTTGAGATTTTAAGTTGTCCTTGTTTGGTTGCATGAATAAAAATCTCATTGGAGATAAGTTTTCATTATCTACCAACATGGAAAAAATGAGGGAGTGTATTGTAATTTTATGAATTTCTTTTAAGTGATGGATTTTTGTGAAATTCATTGATTTTGATGGATTTGTATTTAATTAGTGAAAGTATTTCGTACTAGTAAACTTTTATAAATTTTCATTTTAAAATTTTTATAGACTTTTGTAGAATTAATTTGACTTTTTGAAAATTTTCATTTAAAATAAAATTCACTTGGGTCTGCTCAACATTGGAAAGTTCCTACACAAGACGTGAATGTTCGAATTCACTCACATATTTCCCTCCACTTTATAATAAAAATTATTTATAAAAAGTAAAAATTTTAAATCACTTTAATTAGATAAATAAATTTTCAAAATATATAGTCCCATGTTTGGGAGGAATTAATTCAAAATTTTAGTAAATATTGATGAAAATTAATGAAATGTGTGATTAAAAAGTTGTAAATTTGTAAAATATATTGTTAAAATTATTTATTGATTTTAACTTATTAAATATTGTAATCATACCAAACAGGGGCATATTATATCTCAGTATTCTTTGATAAAAGAAATATCTATTTTGTGGTATTATCAATATGTCATATCTTTAAAAAGTAAACAAGCAAACAAAATATTCTTACAAATTAGACTTTTAAAAAAAATTATAAAAATTAATTACAAATTGAGATTTTTCATAAATAAAATGGATGCGAAAAAAATGTTATAAGAACTTTTTAATTAAAATTTAGCACTTGTTTGGCTCCGTTATTTTCAAAATGTATTTTTTCTTCTCTTATTTTTCAACTACACATTATTCGATAAAATAATATTAAATGCAAACTCAAAACTTTTTTTTCAACTACGCACTCTTCATCAATATACAATTCCAAAAATGCATTCTAAGGCAAAAAATGGCACTCAAATAGGCACCTAACATTTCGCACAGTGTAGTTGTAATTATTTTTTCACCGTCAAAATTTTAGATTGTGGGTCCCTTAATTTTAAATAAATCTAAGCCCTTTGTACAAGAAACCATCGATGTAAAAGCAAATTTGCGTGCAATTTTTGATATCAATGTTAACTGTCCAGACATAGACGATAGAACTCAAACTCAGGTTAAATATTTTGGATCTTGAAGCCTCCTGTAGAACCGAGGGCACATAGTCACACTACACAAAAGGTTGAGAAGGACTAACCCCTTTGATGAATATATAATGGTAATAAATCATTTGGTCCTCTGTTCAATCCTTTGATCCACCAAGTATTGTCCTCGACTAGTCAACTTTTGAACATCGATTTTAGGTAATATAATGGGTTTGGTTTTCCGATTAGATTATTGTCTATGGAAGGATTGCCTTTTGTTTGCATTAAAGTCCTCCGAAGAATGAAGAAATAAAAAAGGGATATGCTTGATGTATAATAAGACACACAGACCCCTCACGAGAAGGAGCCTCGCGTTGAACCCCCTCATGTGAGGAGGCTACATGAGGGGGCTGTACAACCAGAATAACCCAATAAAAAATATTAAACCATGTCTCTCCTTTTTCAATGAAAATATTTATTGCATCTCTCTTGTTCAGCTTTGTCTAGTCAAATAATACACAATATAGAATACGTGTAAATAAACAGATTCTAAGGGCATGTTTGGAACCATTGTAATCTAATAATACATTTTGAAATAGTAGATTGATGGAAAATATATGGTTAAAAGTTTTGAATTTATGAGTAATATTATTTTACCGAAAAATGTATGATTGACT